GTTTCTGTTGGTTTTTTCCCATTTTCGCCCGTTTTCTCCCCGTTCCTGTTGGTTTCTCCCCGTTTCTGTTGGTTTTTTCCCATTTTCGCCCGTTTTCTGCCCGTTCCTGTTGGTTTTTCCCCGTTCCTGTTGGTTTTTCCCCGTTCCTGTTGGTTTTTCCCCGTTCCTGTTCATTTTTTCCCATTTTCCCCCGTTTTCTCCCCGTTTCTCCCCGTTCCTGCTGGTTTTTTCCCATTTTCCCCCGTTTTCTCCCCATTCCTGCTCATTTTTTCCCATTTTTGCCCGTTTTCTCCCCGTTCCTGTTCATTTTCTCCCCATTCCTGCTCATTTTTTCCCATTTTCGCCCGTTTTCTCCCCGTTCCTGTTGGTTTTTTCCCCGTTCCTGCTGGTTTTCTCCCCGTTCCTGTTGGTTTTTTCCCCGTTCCTGCTGGTTTTTTCCCATTTTCGCCCGTTTTCTCCCCGTTTCTCCCCGTTCCTGTTGGTTTTTCCCATTTTCGCCCGTTTTCTCCCCGTTCCTGCTCATTTTTTCCCATTTTCGCCCGTTTTCTCCCCGTTCCTGTTGGTTTCTCCCTGTTCCTGTTCATTTTCTCCCCGTTCCTGCTGGTTTTTCCCATTTTCGCCCGTTTTCTCCCCGTTCCTGTTGTTTTTTTCCCCATTCCTGCTCATTTTTTCCCATTTTCCCCCGTTTTTTCCCCGTTTTGTCCCCATTCCTGTTCATTTTTTCCCATTTTTGCCCGTTTTCTCCCCGTTCCTGTTGGTTTTTTTACCCCGTTCCTGTTCATTTTTCCTATTTTCCCCCGTTTTTTCCCCATTCCTGTTCATTTTTTCCCCGTTCCTGCTGGTTTTTTCCCATTTTCGCCCGTTTTCTCCCCGTTCCTGTTGGTTTTTTCCCCGTTCCTGTTGGTTTTTCCCATTTTCGCCCGTTTTTTCCCCGTTTCTGTTGGTTTTTTCCCATTTTCGCCCGTTTTCTCCCCGTTCCTGTTGGTTTCTCCCCGTTCCTGTTGGTTTTTTCCCCGTTCCTGCTGGTTTTTTCCCATTTTCGCCCGTTTTCTCCCCGTTCCTGCTGGTTTTTCCCATTTTCGCCCGTTTCTCCCCGTTCCTGCTGGTTTTTTCCCATTTTCGCCCGTTTTCTCCCCGTTCCTGTTGGTTTTTTCCCATTTCCGCCCGTTTTCTGCCCGTTCCAGGCATCTCCGGGGACTGGCGGAACCACCTGAGCGCGGAGCAGAGCCGGCGCTTCGAGCGCGTTTACCGCCAGCGCATGCGCGGCCTGGGCGTCTCCTTCCCCTGGGAGGAGCCCCAGAATCGGGGGAAATCGCCCCAAAATCCCGACGGGGAACCCCAAAAAACGGAAAGATCGACCCAAAAAATGGGGGAGGAGACCCAAAATCGGGGGAAATTGACCCAAAATCGCGATGGGGAACCACAAGAAACGGAAAGATCGACCCAAAAAATGGAAAAATCGACCCAAAATCGGGGGAAATCGACCCAAAATCGGGGGAAATCGCCCCAGAACCGGGGGAAATCGCCCCAAAATCGGGATGGGGAACCCCAAAAAATGGAAAAATCGACCCAAAATCGGGGGAAATCGACCCAGAATGAGGGGGAGGAACCACAAAAAATGGAAAGATCGACCCAAAATTGGGGGAAATCGCCCCAAAATCGGGACGGGGAACCCCAAAAAATGGAAAGATCGACCCAGAAAGTGGAAAAATCACCCCAAAAAATGGGAAAATTGCCCCAAAAAACGGAGGAGGAGCCCCAAAAAGAGGATAAATCACCCCAAAAAATGAGAAAATCGCCCCAAAATGAAGAAAAATTGACCCAAAAATTGGAAAAATCACCCCAAAAAATGGGTGAGGAACCCCAAAAAACAGGAAAATTGACCCAAAATGAAGCAAAATTGTCCCAAAATGATGAAAATTTGCCCCAAAAAAAGGGGGAATC